TAAAGGGGGCTTATACCTAAGAAGATACCATGAGAACTCTGGCTGCAGCTTTTTGGATCAGCTGAAGGTTTTTAATTACAGTTTGTGGACTAAAGAATTACAATAGTCCAGCCTTGAAGTAACAAATGCATGGACTAGTTTGTCAGCATCACCCCTGGACAGGATATTTCTATTTTTGAAATATTGCACAGATGAAAGAAGGAAATCTAGAAACCTCTTTGATATGGGATTTAAATGACAGGTCCTGATCAGAAATAACGCCAAGATGTTTGACTTTATTATCTGAAATCAGTTTAATCCCATCCAAATAAAGCGACTGACTAATCAGCTTGTGTTTCAAAGCCTCTGGATCAAAGACTATATTTTGTTTGCATTCAGGAGCAGAAAGTTAAGAGTCATCCAGATGTTTATGCCTTGTAAAAATGGCTGTAGTCTATGTAATTGTTTAGTTTCATCTGGATTTATAAATAGATATAGTTGAGTATCATTTTGGTGCCTGTGATTTATTAAAAGCTTTGGTTTTTATTATTAAATGTTCTGTCACCAGATGAATTTACTTAAAATTCGTTTTCTTTTGTGTATTGGATAAAATACTGCAGATATACAGGATGCATTTTTTTTTATTTTGCCCTTCATCTTCAAGTTTTTAAGTAGGTTTAGAAACATTTTTACAATGACACCTCAAGTGACATATTAATCAAAAATAAGGTAAATTATATTAAGAGCGTCAATGCAAGAGCTTATTGAAAAGAGATCCTGCTCAGCTGACAATCAGCTGACTTGTATTTCCAGGAACTGCAGATATTTTCATGTTCATTACAAACAGCACCAACTTTCCAAACATAGCCTGAGAACTGTTTTAGCCTCCATACTGGTTGATTAAATATAAACGTATTGCTGCTCTAGTCTTTATTCAGAAAGCCAGCTTATCAAAGTTTTAGATTTATACTGCTGTAAATGTTAAAGTTGCCACACTTTCTTCACACATGGTCTTCATCTATCTTTATTTTTTAGTTTTACTTTTGTGTTTTATATTAAAGTCTGTTTCTGTTGATGCAAGATTTTTTTTTAAATGTTAGTTGAAAGTATTTAATAAAGTTAAGATGTACTTTCACTAAAAAGTGTCCTACAGATTTCAAGTATTTATATTTCACCTTGCAGTTATGCAATACTTGTAAGCATCCTCACTTTCCGATGAATAAACACATATAGAGACATTAAATCAGACTTAGCAGTTCCTGTTTTAGGCAGACTTGTGCATGATCTACAAACCTGACCCAGTTAGATCAGTTCTATCAGGATGGATCGACCAAAATTCCAGCAAACTTTAGTGAAAAAATTGAGGAGAAAAACTCCAAATAGTTTTTCGTATGAGGCATTAGCAAATTTTTAGGATTAAGTACAAAAGTCTACTCAGGTACTGAGATTTATACACATATCTGATTTACTATCTGAAAATTTTACACACAAAAGCAATATAGAGTTAAATGCAACTTTTAGTATTTTTAGATGTAAAATGGAAACAAGTACAAAGAAATTATGTTGTATTGAAATAACAAATCTAGGCAGTTAAAGAAACATCCGTCTTCTACTGCTTGTCTGTGTGGGTCACAGGGTAATAATCATGAGTAAGAATCATGTTTTTGGACTGTTAAGAAAGATGATTGAACATGAATGGATGTAGTCAGGGAGTAGACTTAGACTTGGACTAACTTTATTGTCAGTTTGTATCCACAGAGTGTACACAAAATGAAATTTCATTTTGTACAGCTCTCATGACATTTCCATTTCTTAAAGTGCAGCAGTGATCAAATGTAACAATGGTGGTAGATAAAACATAGTGCATTGATATGGAAGTTTGATGCAGAGTCTGTGACATGATTTAGATTTTTTAAAACATTTAGCTGTCCGATGGTGGGGGGGAAGAAGCTGTTTTGAAATCTGCTGGACTTGAATTAAATGCTGCAAAGCCTCTTCCCAGAGGGCACAGCCTGTAACGCTGTTCAGATCCCAGAACATTTATTAACAAACCCTACAGAAAAAAAAGCTTAAATGTTTTAGAATTGGTGGCTGCATGGTGATGCAGTGGTTAGCATCGTAGCTTTGGCCCAGCATCTTTCTGCATGGAGTTTGCATGTTCTCCCTTTACATATGTGGGTTCTCTCCAGGTACTCCGGCTTCCTCCCACAGTCCACAAACATGACTGTTAGGTCTATTGGTTTCTCTAAATTGATTGTGTGAACACAGGCATATGTCTCTGTGTTGCCATGCAACAGACTTGTGACCTGTCCAAGGTGTACCCTGCCTTTTGCCCATACACTGCCAGAGATAGGCACCGGCCTCACTGTGTCTGACAGAATAAACTGGAGAAGATGGATGGTTTTTGGAATGAACATTTATAAGGTAAATATTTACCTAACTTTTACAAAAGTTTTAAAAGAATAATTTACTCCATGTGACCATATATATTGTTCTTCTTCACATCAGTTTCAGCTGAAAAGAAATGTCACTTTAAGATAAAGTATAACTGTGTCTCCATGTCTGTTTTTATGTTAATGTTCCCTATTCAGGGAACTAACTACAATATCCAGAAACTGGAGTCATACAGTTGCATAATAATTGTAATCAATTATACATAAAAAAATATGGTGAAGTAAAACTACTCTGTTGGAAATATTGTTCAATTATATGCAACTGAGTTAATACATCCGGCTTCCATTCCAAAGGGAATTAATGTAAACTTATGACTTTGAATAAGGTTAAATAACAAAACAAAAAAAAAAACAACACAAAAAATACCACTCTGATCATTTTAGCATTAGTTAATTCTGATTATAAATGTTTTTTCAGTCCTTTTACAAAACGGATCTTCCTTTCTATAAAGTTTATTTTCCTATGCGCTAAATAAAAAAGTGGATTTTACAATAATAAAGGAATAAATAAATAAATATCGCAAATATATCAATTAGATTAAGAAAACTACAGAAGTATTAAACTGATCAAAGCAAAATATTTTAGAAACAGTGATGTTTTACTTTTGCTCATCATGCTTAAACATTTGGTCATCCCTTTTGACATGAAATGCAGGCGCTTCAGAAACTGCATGAAAATAATGTTATGTCACAGTAAAGGAGTCGCTTTGAACCGCATCTGCAGACGCAGCCAATAAGAGAGCCCCTCGATCTGTTCTGTCCAATCAGGAGAGAGGAGGGGCGTTCCCCAATTCATTCCGCTCTTCTGGCTGAACCACAACAAACGCCGAACAATTACAGCGGATGGGAGACGCGTTATTATAAAAAACATTAAAGGTAAGTCCTTAAATAACACATTAACCTGGCTTCTTTCTCTTTATTCATATTTACTAGTTTGCGTGAGACGCCATTTTCGTGCGATATATGTGTCGTCAAGCTATCCTTTATTCGTCAAATGTATTTATTTTTTTTGTGCACCTTAAGAAGTGTTTCTTTTAAATGTTTCATAATGAAGCAGATTAAACAACAGTCGTTTTTAGTGGTAAAAATAACAGCGTTTTGATGTTTTTGTTCGCCAGGCTGACCGATTGGTTGTGTTGTCGGTTAGCTCCATCAGGCATCATGGCGGAGGCCTGCCTGCTCCTCACTGGTATCACCCAAACATGGATAAACTGTCCGCCTCAACCTTTAAAACACACTTTGACTGGTTCTTAGTTTAGACCGTTTTCAGTTCACCTACTGAGGCTAACCTACAAAGATTATTGTGACCTAAAAATCTGCAGCCTGCAACAGACTAAACCTATTAAACTATTAGCTGGAAGAGGCCATGTGTCTGCAGGCGGTTTAAACCTGTTTCTACCATATAGAAGAGAAATTACCTTTAATGTCTGTTTGTGGGAAATTTCAGGTGTTCCTCCATCAAAGTGAAACTCAGATGGAGGTAAACAGATACAAGGGTTAGTATAGAAAAGGGAGGAAAAAGATAAACACCAATTTGATGTAAAGGTTTTTAAAGAATAGAATAGAAAATCCCTTAATTGTTCTACAATAGGGAAATTCTTATGTTTACAGCAGTAAAAATATAATAGAATAAATGATCACACAAATTTGGACCTTAGAAAAATGTATAAGAATAACATAATGGTGAAGAGTTAAAAAAACAAAACAAATAAAACACTGTACTTTAAAGTGTTTTAACAATATAAAACTAATTACATGGAGAATAGATAACTTTATACAGCTTTGGAGATTTTTACAGTAAAGGATATTACATTGGAGATGTGCAAAATGACAGCAGCATGTTATTTAACTGACTGAATTAGAAACTGTGCAAAAATCATGGACAATTTAAAGAAGAAGAGAAAAAAAAACTATTTTAGAAGTTTGATAGGATGGAACCTTAAAGTTTGATTGACATAATAAAGAAGGGCCTTTTTTTTCTCCCAAAATGATATCAATATTGGTTTGATAACAGCCAAAAAACTAATTTTAGATTATATAAGCCTGCACCTAAAATATCCAATATTGGGATGATGATTAAAAACACAATGCTTGGGTCAAATGTTCTTATGTTTACTATTGTTCTCCATTTGAGACATCTCACTTGATCAAACCTTTTCTAAAATTTCTTGGGTGTATGTATTTAAATAAGAAAAAATACAAAGATTGTCTTTCAGACTTAGAGCATATTAATGAAACCGAGACTCCAGGGAGAGGAGTTTATTATTTATAAAGGTCAGTTTTTTATTATGTAAGGATTAATTATTTCTAATGCTATCACCCTTGGAGAAAACGCAAAATAGTAAAAAATACTCATAAAATAAAGTTTATTAATTAATGTCTAGTGTCACAATGGATCGTTTCATTTGCACCAGCTGCAGCCTCTTCTCCTGGGAAATATTTCCTGGAGTCTGTCCAGGTTCCAATTTCACATTCAAATGGTTCCCTGGCATGTTGTTAGTCAGCCATCATGCTCTTCTGTGTCAGTTCCTCTTGCTAATGTGATCTGTTTCTGTTTTCTGCAGTCGACAGAATCAGCAGCAGCCATGGGCCGGGCCCCGTCACACTTGGCCAAAAACAAAGATGAAAGTCAAGACGCGCTGACGACAAATGGCGAGTTCAAAGACGGTCACACAGAGGAGGACGGGAAGCATGCAGACGTGTCTCAGTTCCCGTATGTGGAGTTCACCGGACGGGACAGCGTCACCTGTCCGACATGCCAGGGTACTGGTAGAATCCCACGAGGTAAAAGCTTGAATTGGAATAGGGATAGAAATATGACTCATTTAAAATCTGAATCATTCCAGTCCAAACTGTTATGGATGATTAAAAAGTTTTATTTCAGAAAAGCTGACTCCAATGTTTTATTCAGGTTTTTTTTATTTTAACTCAAAATGTATGCAAATGTGTTTGAGTTGCACATGAAATTATAAGCACCATCTTGTTTATATTGTGCAGCCATATTCAGCAAGAAACTCTTTACTAGAACTCTTTAATTGGACAATTTAATTATGCGATTGTTTGCAGCAAAGTGCTGATGTCTGCAAGTGAAAAGCCAAGATTTTTTTGTTTCTCTGAGTGAAAAATCATCCTGTTTTTGGTCTGAACCTACTTGTTATCACTGTACCAGGGTTCTCTCCTGGAGGAACCATTGAGGGGGATTGAATTAAATTGCACACAAACATTTTTCTAGAGATCCTCCTTAAGATAACGTGTTTCTTTTTTGACGTCTGAAGTAAAAACTCTCCGGCATGTGGTATGGAGGCAGGCAGGCAGGCAGTGCTGCTTCCAATTAGGCCCTTCGTTATATGCCACTTCTTTCTTCCACTTTCTATGGCCTTCCTAGTACAACTTTTTATCCACGGGATATGTCTGCAGGAAAATGAATTTTAAGAACATTTTAAACCTCTGAGCTGCAGTTACAGTTGCTACTTCATTACTTTTTCTAGTGTAAACAAATCATTCTTCTGGTAGTTGAAAATATACAGATAAGCTTTCCCAACCTGAGCTTCTTGACTTTAACAGTAATTCCTATTTGCTTAAAGATTAACTCGTCAGTGAAAGGCAGAAGTAAATAAACACTGTTCGATGTTAAACTCCTATATTGCTTTGCTTAACAGGTCAGGAGAACCAGCTTGTGGCTCTGATTCCATACAGCGACCAAAGGCTCAGGCCAAGCAGGACGTAAGTCTGAACTCTGTCCTTATTTTATGGATTAGCAGCTTCAGCTCCCTGTCTGAAACAAAAAAAAAAAAAAACTCAGCAGCTGCAGTAGGAAGGGGTATAAAACCATCGTCTGGTTTCAGGTTCCCACTTCTTTTTTCCTCTTTCCTCCAGAAAACTCTACGTCACCATTTCCGTGGCCCTCTGCCTGCTGCTGTCAGGCCTCGCTGTTTTCTTCCTCTTCCCGCGCTCCATCGATGTTACTTACGTTGGCGTGAAGTCTGCATATGTTTCCTATGATCAGGAGCAACGGATTGTCTATCTCACTATTACAGTAAGAAAAAAAACCTGTCAATCATAAAAGTACAGCTGTGAGGCTGCAGTTTATATTCTTTTAACACTTGTGGTATAACCTGGTTGAACTAATCAATGTTTTGGCAGGAAAACTTAGAATATTTTTATTTTATTCTATAAATCCAGCAGCAGATCTCCAGCTGACACATAAAAGCATCTATAACATTTAGAGGTGTAACGGTGCATGTAATGGCAACAAACTGTCATGGTACGGATGTTAGTCATGTGTAACAGGAGCAGGACAAAGCGTATGATCATATAAGGAGAGCACCGTGACTCAGAGGACTGCGTACTGAGTTTAATTACTTCTTGAGGGCCTGACAAAAAATTAGCAGATTAGGGTGCTGCAGGGGTGGGCAATTCCAGTCCCTGGAGCTGGTGTCCTGCAACTTTTAGATCAATCTTTGGTCCAACACACCTGAATCAAATGGCGGAGTTATCTTCTCAGTATGCAGTCAGTTCCCCCAGAGTCATCTCAATCATTGAATTACTTGATTCAGGTGTGTTGAACTAAAGGCACATCTAAAAGTATCAGGATACTGGCCCTGAGGAATTGGAATTGCCCATCCATCGGCTTCTGTCTAAGGCTGGGGTCTTAAACGTTTTTCAGGCCAAGGACCCGCAAACTGATGGCGAGATGGAGGAGTGACCAACTAATAATATATAGTATGAAATTGTGTTATATCCAACTGGTCCTACAGTCACTCAATTACAGATGAAGTAATGTAATGAAATTAATTTCGCCCTGGGATTATTAAAGTATTGCTGATTCTGATTCATGGTAGATGGGACAGGTGTTGTGATTGAAACGATGCCCAGCTTGAAAGAGCTCCTGTGTGTCGCTGAATGTGTGCATTGATGACCGAAAGACATCTTCTGCCTCCATTTATCTGTTTACTTCAGTGTGTCGACTTCATGTTAATGTGTATTTAAATGTTTCAATCAGTGGAAAAAGTTGGAGGGGGGAATGTAAAAAAAGAAAAAATAAAGTCTAATCAACAAAAACTTTCGCGACCCGCATGCAGTACCTCCATGGACCCCGTGTTGAAGTCTATGGCAGCAGATCCATGTCTTTCAGCCTGTGACCCTGACAGTTACCAAGCAACAGATGCATACATGCAACTAGTTCACTCCATCATATTTATGGATACAAAGTGAACATTTACATTCACTTTTAATTTTATTCTTCATAGTATTCGATTATCTAAATTATTTAAATGATGCTGATGAAGATTCTCAGTCATCCAGGTCATAGTCATTCCGTAAGAGTTTAAAAAACAATCCACTGGACTTGGTTTCCAAGATTTGAAGACGTTTCGCTACCTCTCCAGGAAGCTTTCTCAATTCAAATGTCTGGATCCGCAGTGGTTTGAGTCTTTATTAGGGGTGGAACGGTTCACAAAATCACGGTTCGGTTCACGGTTTCGTGGTCACGGTTTTCTGTGTTCGGTTCGGTATATGATGATTGTTACACCGAAATCCCATAAAAATTTATTAAAAAATCCCCCAAAAAATAATAAATTGTAATTATTTTTAATGATCCGCGGAAACCCTGGATCATTTCCGTATGTTTTGCTGCTTTGAATTTAATCATCTCGCGCATGCCCTCTACAATCTCCAAGGAACTCAGAGTGGAGCGGACAGGAGCAACAGCGGAGGCTGTATGCTTTGCTTTGTGCAGGCGGTCTGGAGCGGGGAGGAGCGGAGCGCTGACGGAGTATGTGAGATTTCGGGGTTAGCCTGACATGTTGGTTATGTTGCTGTTAGCATAAACAAACCGTGTTGCACATTGCTTGCACACTGTTGCACTTTTATCCACAACTTTCTTTCCGCCGTCATCGTAGGTCACTCTAAATGCAAAGTGGTCCCATACAGCAGACCTATAAAGTGCTGCTGGCGCGTCTTCCAACTCCTGTTCTTTCCCACTCGCCATACCCACACAATTCTCCACAACAACTGATTTTTTTCTGCTACAGCCGGCTACGCTGCTTCGCTTCTTCTTCTTGTTTACTACTGGTGGTTGGCTTTGGTTGCAGTACTGCCACCTTCTGCTCTGGAGTGTAAACGCTTCGCCTATGAGAAAAAGGAGCTGCGCATGAACCGAACGCAACACATGTGAACCGAACCGAGACAGTCGAACCGAACGGTTCGCATGGTTTTCATATACCGTTCCATCCCTAGTCTTTATATAGACAAGGCCTTGTATTGCTTGGAAACATGCAAATGGAAACCGATTTAAATGATGCTGTTGTGTTTAAACCAACAGAAAATCTATGGCTGTGTCTGAACGTCCGCCCTAACCCCTCCATAACTATAGAGCAGGGACTCTATAGTGAACTCGCTTGACCGACAGTTCGGACAGATGATCACTACTTTTGACTCCGTGTTGGTCATTTGACTCCGGCTCCCCGCACGGTGTCTGTGCCATCTTTTTTTTTTTCTCTTGGCCAAAAAAAACAAATCTATTGATGCTTTTTGAGGGGAGCTCTTGCAAAGCATTCTGGGATGCTAGAATGCCAATTTTCAAGGTGCATTGTGGGTAGGGCTGGGTACCGAACTTCGGTTCTTTTATGGTACCGACCGAAATGCTTCGGTTTTTACAGAGTATCGAAACATGCCTCGTCTTTCGGTACCAAGTAGCGTCATCCAGGAAAAATACACAGGTGGTCCCGCCTACAGCCAGGGTTCATGTGTATCTGTTGTGAACTGGTTGCGAGCGTCGAGGAACCCCTTTAAAATGCCCCCCAGGTCAAAAGTGCGGCTTCACTTTATTAAGACTGATGCCAATAGTGCGCAATGCAATACATCGTGCACGGAAACAATTTAAGAGCAGAAAACTGCTAAGTAAAAAGGTCCTCACAATGTAACAGTGAATATTAGACACTGAATTTTTTTTATGTAAGAGGAAAAATGTCAATGGAAAAATCTGAGCTTAAAATAAAACTCCAGATTTGTAATTTTTTGTGTTGTGTAATTTTCTTTTTCTTCGAATTGATATTATAAAACTGGTATCGAAAAAAGTATCGTTCAGGAACCGGTATCGAAGTGAAGGTATCGGTATTGGTACCGGAACGAAACATTTTTGAACAATACCGAGCCCTAATTGTGGGTAAACTTTAGGTCTTCATTATTCATCGCCTAGATATTGGAACACTGTATAAATGGCCTAACAACTATATAATGGCCCGGCTAGCCTGACTGATATGATGTATATATGACATGTCAGTCTGGTAAAAAGCTGATGGAGCGTTAGGTGGGACTAACAGTGTCAGCCTCATCAGGTTAGAACCAGTCGGGTAACTACAGACGTGATGCAAAAACTCCAAGCAACGCGCTCGACTTTTGTAATTTTGTAGTCTGTGAAACTTAAAGCAGAGGAAATCAAATACTTCCTTTTAAAAAAATAAGTTATGTTAAAGCTGTGCGTTGGAAAGACTTCAACGGTAGTCGGTCTCTTAGGACATCAGGAAAGGCATCAGTAAAACATTGCTCTGTTGCGTTTGCCATCTTGCTGTTAAGCTAGCAGCAATGCAGAGAGTGACGCAGCGTAAAGTCCCGCCTACCGTGCCGTGATTGGTCCAGACAGATCTGTCTGGAATCAACAGGTGCTTTACCTGACTGAAGCTGAGCTCCATGTAATCCCCTCTGGTTGTGCTAGGTTAGCCATGTATAACGCTTATGGCGCACATTTGTACACAGCCATTGGTTTGTATTTAAAGTTGGTTCTTTAGTAGACCGATCCTCCCTCATCCAAACCTCCTCCCCATCAAATAGGGATAATTGGTGTTTTTCTAATTCCTGTTTCTATTATTCAGTTCAGCTTTTCTTTCTTGAATCCCCATAGATGTTCCAAATTAGGCCTTAAAGTTGTGACATACTGAATGAATGTGTTTTCTGTTAGGACCAGGGCTGCAGCCTGCCTATTGGTTGTGGTTAAAGTGGAACCTGTCTTTCCCGTCACACTTGGCACTCACACCGTAAATTTGCGTTCACAAAGTATCTTTATTTTTAAATGCATCAGCTCGGATAAATGAAGGAGAACTCATTTGTTGCTGGTTTAAAACGCGATGCCTGACAAAGACAGTGAAAAGAAGGAATGGGAGAAACTATGTATGACTAATGCAGCTTCATGCTTCCTTTGAAAGAAATGGATGTCAAACAAATCCTGGGGCTAGATGCTTATTTTAGATGGTTATGCTCCAATACAAGATTTTATAGGGGTTAATGCCTGCATAATGGATAAGAGAACATCAACTAAAGTTATGACAAAGTTTTTTCGTGTACATCCGTGTTAATCCCACTTTTTTGTGCGTTTCTTACTTTTCCTTCCAACAGAACACTCTAAACATCACTAATAACAACTACTACGCCATATCTGTGACCAACATAACGGCACAAGTTCAGTTCTCCAAGACAGTAATAGGAAAGACCAAGCTCAACAACATCACAGTGATCATGCCTCTGGATGAACGGCAGGTAAGTTCCACACTCGGCATTTAGCTTTGAAAAAAGAAAATGTCTACAGGGCATTGAGGTTTGTAGGACAGTTCTTTCACCATCAGATGGAACATGCATCATGAATTTGGTCACCTGTGAACAGTTTGCATGTTGGCCAGGATCTCCTTCCCTGGAGGTTTTGAAGCAGAACAAGACCAAGTCTGCTTTCTTCAGGGTAGAAGTGACTCATCATAGCTGTTGATCTCCTTTAACCTAACTAGCAACATTTAGCTGCTTTAATGTAAAAATGGGAGTCAGATCTCCACCAAGCAAGATATTTTGCCCTACACTGTGACTGGCTAAAACTCTCTGGATAAACACCAAAGTATAAGGAAATGTTCATTGGACTGATGCGCACCTTTGGTGGAAAAATCATTAAAATCTGTTCATAACTTCTCAAGTTTTGAACAGACATAAACTTGTTTTTGTTTTTATCACAGATGTAATTTCCCTTTATTTTAAGGTTTGATTAACTGATTGCCATGAGTTTCAAAGTTTTAGACACAAATTTTAGCTTGAATGGAAATAAAGGCCTTGCTGGTCTTTAGAAGTTATTAATTAATCTAATCTTCTGTGTTTTGAAGCTGGATTACACAGTTCCCACCACCATCGCAGACGAGATGAGTTATATGTTGTGAGTATCCATATTTGGATAGTTTTTAATTCTTTATGAATGTGTTTCTTGCTAAACTATTTTTTTTTTTCACCCCTTAGTGATTACTGCACCTTGCCGACTATTAAAGTCCACAACATAGTGGTCATGATGCAGTAAGTATGGTTTAAATCTGATATTTATATCATAGGATTGGTTAAGCCTCATTAGTCAGGGAACGCTCTCACATTGTTTCACCCACACAAGTTGAAGATCCGCCCAGAGCAAACTGAGCTCTCTGCTGTGGAACAGGAGCAGCCTGAGGACCTTTGGTTGCTTGTTGATTTATCCAGACTGACATGCAAACCAGCTTTTACTTTATCCCAGCAAACGTTTCTCCAGAGTTAATTAGCTCACCTAATTTCATTTGCTCAGTCATGCAGCTTGTTTCTAGCCTAATATGATCAAACTGAGCTGTTGTGGAAATTAAAGAAAGACGCAGAGAAAACCAGAACGTCTGCTGCTGCTTTCTATTAGTTGTGCAACTAAACCATAAAATCTATTTGGACAACTTGGCTCTTAAAAAAATGTTTTTAATGGATTTAATATGAGAAAATAATGGATTTTTTTTCAGCTTTCTAAATGAGACTTCTGTATTTTTAGCCTTACAAAAAGCTAAATGGTGTCATAATTCACTGTCATGATTGCTCAAAATAAGTTACGTCTTTGGTATATTTAAATATCAAAATTTTTAGTCCCCTTGAATGTTATAATTTATTAAACTCCTGTAAATTATAATTTACAGGAGCTTAAAATAAAATATTTCATTTTGTTCCTCTATTTTCTGGTCAGTCTGATCTTTGACATTTGAAACATGACTATTCTTTCTAAATATTCATTCTTTTAATCAATACGTTGATTTGTTATAACTGAAAGGAAAGTTTATATTTGGTACTTAAAGGTGTCTAAAGTATTTGTTTAGATTAAGTTTTTTCTAGTCAATAAATTTATGTTTCCAATTAGAGAATTAAATGAAAAATTAGTTTTAAAGATAAACAAGAAAGTAGATGATAAATCAATCCTAGAAAATGTCCTAACTGGCAGTATTAAATTGTGATTCCAGTTTTTATTTTTTTAAATATTCTTTTTTCAAATTTTTTTCCAAGTTGTAAAAAAACATCCATAATTTTTCTTTCAGTCAATCCATCAGTTGGTCCATCTTTATTTTTTTTTTTTTTATAAATGTCTTTAAGTCAGTAAGATTTTTAAAACCGTCTGAAAAAATACATTTAAAATGTAAAACAAAAAGAAAAATGTTGGCATCATAAAGTTAGGGGAAGCCTGGTCATCAGAAACAAGCTAATAAAATCATCCAGTTGTTTTCTGTGGAAGTCATTGTTCCCTCAAACGGTTTTAAACTTCAAAACATTTGATTAGCTAAAAGTTCCAGTTAAGTGTTTTTAATTTCATTTGATTACCACAAGAGGGCGCTCACACACTCTGTTTCAGAGTTATAGACATGGGACTCTAAATCAAGCTTTAATATCTGTCTCCTGTAGATAACTGGCTTTTAACATCTAAAGTTTTGTTTTTTTGATTTTCAGGGTAACAGTAACGACGTCGTACTTCGGTCACACGGAGCAGGTCTCTCAGGAAATGTACCAGTATGTGGACTGTGGGGGGAACACGACCTCCATGCACGGCCATGTGCAGGTCTACCAATAAAAGGGAGAAAAAAAAAAAAGAACCTAAACATGTAAAGCACAGCCCTCTGTGAAAATGGATAAATGTTTCTTTCCTAAAACACTCATCTGGTTTTAACTCCTGCTTTCCTTTCCAATCACACTCTTCACAGTCAGTATTTGTAAAAAAAAAAAAAAAAGTGCTTTAAATGTTGAAATTTCCCCAGGCCGACTGCAAACAGGAACAGAGGATGGAGGAAGCTCCTGGTTGATCATTTTTCATGCTAAACATCCTGGAAAGCAATAGATCTGATGCACTTTAGTCTGATGTTTGTTTAGGAGGAAGTAATGAGTGTTTCAGAAGAGTTTGATTGTTGCATCTGATTATAAACCACTTTACTCTGACGGTAGCTGAGACAAAACCACTGAGCAGTTCTCAGCTACACTTCTTTACCTACCTAACCTCTTTTTATTGTTTTATTTCACCTATGATCTTTTCTATGTGAATTAGTGCAATATTAACCACAACTATCTCGTGTCATTTGTTTGTTTTTCTCCCGTTTCATCAAAGCACAGTTAAAGAGAACTATTTTTAAACTTAATAGATTTTATGGAATAATTAAAAAGATAAATAATGTTGTAAAAGGGAAAATAATGTTTAGGTCCAAACCGACACCTGAGCATTTACAGAAAGCTAAACATTCAGGAAATGTGTTCATTTGCTTTGTTTTAAATGAATCTGAACATACTTTACTCCGATTTAACGGGACCTATGTGGGGAGTGGTGTCATTTGCAATACTATTCTTTTTTTTTTGTATTCACTTGGCACTGTATAACTTTAATCCGTTATAAAATCATTTCCCGTTTCTATCATTTTGATATATATTCTGAAACTATTTCTTTCCCATCTAACTTAATTTATCATCCGGGTTTGATGTTGAAACCTTAATGTGACTTTTCCTACCATTTTTACACCAAATCGTTCTTATAATGATAACAGAATAGATGTGCATAGTTTTTAACATCAGTTTGGTTTTGTGGCTTTCACGCATGAAATTAAAAATAAAATTATAACTATCCTATTAGTTTCTTTGTGCTTTTTGTTTGTTTTTAATGCCACTGGGTGGCGCCAAGTCTAATTCTCCTGCATTTACATATACAGAGAAAATGCACCCCTTTTTTTTTTTTTGTTTTTCAGCCCTAGTCTTGAAAAATGTTTTAAAATCTTGATAAATATGTGGAATTCAGAACAATGTGCCCATTTTCAAACAGTTGAACATTGTTATCTGTTGTTGTATTGTAGAAATTAGAGTAAATTACTTTTTTGACTTGTATTCATACTGTTAGACGTTCAGAAATAATTGGTGCTCGACAACCTGTCTGATTAAGCAGGCAGATTGTCCTTTTCTGGTCTAAAATGGCTCTGATTATTATAGAAAAAAAAAACTTTTTCTGGAGTTAACAGCCCAGTAAACATATAGATCAATAAGAAAAACTATGGTTTTGTTCATCTTTCTTGCTTTTGACATTCTGGGTCAGTGAAACGAATTCAGTCTAAAAACGGTATGCCTTGGTATGTTCACATCTGGTAGAATCATCAGACTGCCAGTTCTCTTGCTCAGTTGGACCCAAGTCAGTAATTGGATCCACATCTCAGCTTGAATATGTGTAAAAAGAAAAACATGCATAGAGGGACATGCATTATATTTAGGAAGAAGGAAATCAATTTTCTTTTATCCTGCAATTGTCTACACTTAAAATCATTTTCTATTGGTTCCCTCCATATAAGGACTTGATTAAATGCTTTTTAAACTCAGATGTATGTTAACATCTGCATTTGTGGTTACAGTATAGGTCGTTTTCTCACCTCTATCCTAAACTTCAGCAAAAAGTTATTCCTCGGAAACACAAAAACAAACTTAAAACTAAACTTTCTAGTTAGTTTTTAGTTAAAGGGTTAAACATTCAAACAGATGCCTAAAACCTCCTGTTATTCTCATTACAGCAGACCTTCCTCCAAACTCCATAGTTCATGTATATGTCTGACATTTCTCTTTAACAAGCTGAGAGGAAATGGATTTCCCACATGTGTCCTCCCTGAACCGGCAGTAACCAATGATGGAAAGCCTCATGCAGAGGCATCTATGCCTGATGTCAGCGTTTTTGCTTGAAGCTACATCAACCTTAAAATTGTAGTTCAGATATAAGTTATATGGTGAGCTGCAAGTTGTCTGGAAATAAATCAAGATTTTTTTCTGTGAAAACTTGTAACATAAAAGCCTTTAAGTCAAATGTCACCATCTTTGGCTGTAACAACTAATCAGAGTAATCGTAATCAATCACTGAAATAACCTTCAACTAATTTGGTAATCAATCAATCATGAAGTGGAATATACAGACTGTTGTTAGAATTCAAACACAGTAGATGACCAATCTAGTATTGAAAGTTTTCTCATTTTGTGTCTATAGAGGAGCTAAAGCTGAAGGTCATGGCAAGAAGGCCCTTCAGCTTCAGTCAACATATACATCTCTAAAATAGTTTTATATTTTGAGATATACTCCTTCTATTTCCTGCCAGAAGCAAACTGACTTGAATGTAAATGATTCTACATGTAAATATTTGAGGTGTGTGAATAATCTGGAGTTTAATACCTCTGTTAATATCTCATCTCCCTAACCCACTTGGTTTTTGTTTTGCGGTTTTCTTGTTGTTTTTTGGATTTTTTAAAGTTGGATTGGGGGCCGGTTTTTTAGTTATCAGGCTCTTCTCCTGCAGAGCCAACTACCAGTGTTAGTCTGTGAGGGAGACACTCTGTCTACTTTTAAGACTAGGCTTAAAACTTTCCTTTTTGATAAATCTTATAGTTAGAGTGGCTCAGGTTATCCTGAGCTATCTCTATATTTATGCTGCTATAGGCTTAGACTGCTGGAGAACATAGGGACCCTCATTTCATTATTTTGCTTCATTCTATCTCTATTCTCACACTCTGCAGAATCTGTTGGTTCAATCTATAACGTTATGCTCCCTCTACTTATTTATCATAGTAGCTTCTCCTCGTCTGTTCCTGTTTGGCTGTGACTCCATCCTGGAGAGAAATATCAGCTGTGCTGCTGCCATTAACACCTTTGTTTCTAGATGTTGGAGATCGGCCTGTTTTTCAGTGTAGTCCTTTTTCTCTGACTGTGACTAACTGGATGTGCTCTCTTCATCCTCTGAAATGGGAGCTGGCCTGGAGCTCATCTGCCTGGCTGTGTGTTTCCTGGAAGGGGCCGCCTTTTACAGCTGCATTTTGTATCTCTGCTTCTGTCTCCTTGAACCCCAGCCGGCCTCAGCAGATGGCCGCTCACACTGAGCCTGGTTCTGCTGGAGGTTTCTTTCTGTTAAAAGGGAGTTTTTCCTCTCCTCTGTTGCTACAAGCATGCTTAGTGTGAGGGATTGCATTCGAGTCAATGAGTCGACGCAATCGACTGGTTTTCCTTAGAACACTTTGAATCAATCTGACTGGATGATCTGGTTGAACTGTAAAGCTCCTTGAGATGACATGTTGTGAATTGGCGCTATATAAATAAACTGAATTGAAATAAATATTAAGAATATCTCTTTTTGTATGCTGCTGCCGGAAAAACTCCATATCTTTCTGCATAATCATACAAATTATTTACAACTTCACAATAATATAGATTAGTCAGTCTACAACAGACCAAGGATTTCAGGAGGTTTAAATGTCCCCTTTTTGACTAACTGCGGCTCACTGAGCTCTTTATGCTGTAATTAATAATGTACTTTAGATTGTATTATTTATTTATTTTTTTACTTTTAGGGCTACGTAAAATTGATGACATGTTCTACTTATAAGAAACCTTTACTGATGAAAACCTCACAGAAACACCAAACTAACCGTTTAAAAGGCATATTTCACCAACTCTGGGCCCTTTAGAGCCACCATTCTCCTGAAATGTCCCCCATGCAGCTGAGAAAAAATGATCCCAACATGCAATCACATTCTTCAATTGCTGAATAGTCATATATATGTTTGATTCAGATGTTTTGGAGCCTGAATGCATCATCAGGTGTCAGCTATAGCATATTGGATTATTAGGTTGGGGATCTGCAATAAACTTTTGGACATTTTTGTTTATTTTTTCACTCTTTTTAGTTTTGCATCAAAACAAGACACAACAACGCATCACCATTTTCCTCAGAGAGCTGATAAGTTCTGACCACTGTGCTCCTCCACCATGGTCAGCTAGCCCCCCCATCAAGGCTCCTCTCCCCGCCCAGTGTGGAGCCTCCTGGCTCCGCTCCGACTGAAGCTACTCTGTGTGGAAAAGCCGGAGCGCCCTTCGCTCCGTTTCCTCCTATTCTGCCGCCCAACTATAGAAAATTATTCTAAAAATGGGCTTTTTGGCTCCTAAATCAGCGCTTTCTGTCTGTAGCTTGTTATTCGCGCTCGTCGGCGTTTGTTCCGCAGGTTCGGACGCGCCGCGCGGTGTCGCGCTCGGGTTCGTCTTCGACCCTGAAGCGAAGTGCGATCCGCCGTGCGAACATGGAGGAGTCTGCATCCGAAACAACACCTGCTTCTGCTCCAAGGGCTATGAAGGGGAAAGATGCCAGTACGGTGAGATCATTTGGACCGGTCAGAAGAACAGTCTAGTACGGCTGGTGGTAAAGCATCTAGCAGCACCTCAATTATGGACATTCAATGCATTTAATTCACTTTTTAAAGAGAATTTAAAGAGTCATCCATGAATTCTATATAAACCGATCTTCCTTGAAATATGTTTTTATTTAGTTTGATGCATTCTAAAACTATGTCTATTGTTTTATTACCAAACTGTTTAGTCTTCTGCACAGCTTCAGCCCTGCTGTTCATAGGGCTGTTTATTCACTGATGTTTTTAACAAAACTCTGATTATAATTGAGCAGTTTCTTTTGGTTATGTTTAGGGATATCATAGTGAAGGAGCGTTAATGCAA